GAAGGAAATATCACTGACAAAGCGAAACAGGTCGGGGCATGGTAGTCCTCTTCGGACAATTCTCAATATTTAGTAATACAATGTGGAGTGTCACACATTTGCGGTCACAATTTCAATCAAAGAAAATTCCGCCGTCAACAATGACAAATAAATTTTTGATCAAGTGAAACGCCCAATGTTTATATCACTGTACCATATATATACGAGGACACATCACGTTGGAATTGAATAATAACTTGCGTTTTTTTAAAAGCAAATCAAGTGATAATTCGTACAAAGTGGGAAATATAAAGAATGGCATGCAATGAATCTAAGAACATCGATACCAATCTATTTGCTTGTTTGGGAACAAACGTCTTCCTACACCAAGGGTGTGCAACCTTTCTTACATGAGGGCCAGCTTAACTATATGGCGAACCACGGCCTCTCGTCCGGTTACCATGTCCGGTATGGGATTAGTTTGTTATTTGTTTTCGGGAGCATGGACTTGGTGGTGAAGAAGACCGCAACCGACCGGCGGTTACGTGAACCACCCTACGGCGTCGAGGAGTCCAGCAATCCCCTCGCATATAACTATCCCTGTATGGGATTCGAACCTGCGAACCCACGCAGAGTGATCAGAAGTGAGGTGGCGACATATGGCTCGATAAACCACACTGCCGCGCCATTTCATGACGCATATTTTAGAAAAAAATGTTCACATAACCTCACAAAGGTTGACGTCCAACATGCCACGGCGGCTAATTCGCCATGTGGGGCGGTGGGCTTTTTTGCCTGCACCGGAAAGAATGGGGGAGAGAGAGAGAGAGGTGTAATGCAACATGATTCCCCATAACCAGGTCATTTGCAACATTTTTACACATTCATTTCATGGCGTATTATTGTTTTTGTTTCTGTGTATACTGTTTTTAGAACACTGGCTTCAATTATTACATAAATGTTTACGTGTGATAAGTCAGTTAGTGCTTTTACTGATAATTGTTTATAGAATTTACTATCATCGTTTTGATTTATGTTTGTATGCATCTTGATTTTATAGCGTCTTTTCTGACTTAGGGGAAAGTGGGGAAGGTTGGGACACTTTTTTTCTTTTGCATATTTTGAGCCTTTAATTCTGCATATTCCCTTAAGTTGGCGGGACTAATGCATAAAGGGGTAAATGTAGTTTACATTCAGCGAATAAGAAATTTTCTTGCGACACACATCTTACTACCAAAATGCTTTGAAAAACGTCTGTCAAGTGTCCCACTGTACCCCACTTGTGGGGCACATTCGGACAGACCCTGGGGCCCCATGGGTCAGTCCGTCAAAATTCAACGAAGTATGCCCTTAAAAATAAGCAATTAATCAGCATAATCGTCTAAAGAACAGGGAGACTTCAAATTTGAAGCTTTAATATTTTTAAAACCAATGTTCAACTGAAATAGTTCAGATATCAGACAAAAAGTTTCGCAAACAAATTTGATTATTTCTTCCCTCGAATCTAAATCTGGAAATATTATTGATTCTCGAATATATTCCATATTGGGCCATGGGTCAAAAGAAACCATAATATTACACTTAATATACCGCATATCTAGGTCTCTAAGCACTTATTGTATCAAACAATGTCGAATTGTGCACTGTAGGGCAAGTCCCACTGTGCCCCGGTCCATTGTTTCTCATAGGCAACAAATATTTTCAGACTATCCCACAGCGAAATCTGGAAGGCACATCCACTCGCCAACGTTATGAATATTCTACAGTGGACTAAAGCTGAAAAATATCAGACGGTGGTTTGTCATGTTGGAAAGTCCAATGTAGAAAAAAGAAAAAACTGGAACGGTGAAATTTTAGTTTCAACCTTCCAAAACCAATTTCACTTCATAGCTTGCGCCGCACTACCCTTCCGTTGTCCGTTCGCGGGGACGTTGTAACTCACCAAAGGGCGGATTGAAACATCGAACCGCGGACAGGATTGCGGATATAGTATCAGTGTGAGAGCTGATTTTCCACTGTGCCCCATGTCCCAACGTGCCCCACTTTCCCCTACTCGACACGATGGATATTTCTTCTCATTTAAACATTTTTCTCTCGACTCTCTTGATTCTATTCATGATTTATGTTTAAACTTTTCTCTCTTGACCCACTCTCTTGGTCCCATATATACTTTCTATTCAAACTTTTCTCTTTTGGCTTACTCTCTCGGTCCGATCTTCGTTTCCTAAATTTTCCCCTGAACATATTTAAATCCAGCTTAATTATTTGACGTTTTTTGACGTCATTTAGCATCAATGGTGTCGCTGACACGATGACTTGATAGTCTTTCGCGGCCCCTCGTTAATTGCAGTCGAAACATTGTGTGCCTGTTGTGCTTCTTTTGGACGCGTCAATGGACATAACATCGTTTTGCATTTTATGCTGGCACTCTTCTTCAACCTGTTGTTGTTCTTTGACACGTTTTAAAAGGTCGCTTTGCTTTTCAATTATTGGATCAATTTCTTTGAAAATTTCAGTGGGTAAAGATTTTTGCCAGAAGACTGATATTTTTATTTATTTCAAAAATTTCTGTGAACTTCAAGAGATTCGTTTTTTTTTATTGGATTCGTTTCTTGTATGCGAAGATGTGATCAGAATAAAAAATGGCGGCACCTTATGGCGATTCCGCAAATGCATATCAGCTGACAAGCGAACTTAATCCTCCCTTCGCTAAGTTTTGTTTGTGGGGAATGGTGATCTCTGCGCGGTACCGTACCGGTAGTGAGTATATGGTGTTTACCGGTAGTGACTCTGATCGCTTGTGTTACTACATTTGTGAGTTAGACGTGTCCATATATTTGAGCATTGCTCTCTTGTTTCTTTTGCCTTGATTTACTATGATTGTGTTTACAATGTTTCTTGCACGACGAAAATAAATTATCGAAATCTGGACGTTGAACGCATTTTACAAGTCACGTAACTTTTGTACTGTTTACATGCAATTGTTCTGCTATGATGTTCTTGATCTACATTCTGCGTCTTAATATTAAATTCATATTGTTGAATGGATTTCCCAACTTTTGGTAATTTATTGTATTGCATTGACAAAAATATTTGTCTAGCCCGTTTCAACTTGGTTTGATATATCGGCAAACACGCAATATCGGTCGAGCTCTACTCGTCACCTTATCACATTGTATTCCACACAGTATCTTTGTATCAGATTGAATTGGTCCTTATTAGCTTAAATATTTTAGAAGTACACCCAAAAGTTCAATACATTCGCTCATTTTCTGTGTTTGTATTGCTGGCACAAGCCTTTTTTACGAGGTTTAGGATTTTTTGTGAGTGTGTGCTGGTTAGCAGGCCCATATGATATTTATCATGTTTTACAATTTTTAAAGGTTTTGATCACTCGGCAGAATTCTACTTATTTAATTTATGTGTATTATGGTGTTTTCAAAATAAACTATCAAAATGTGGAAAGTTATCTTGGTAGAGATGTTTTTTGAAAATCGCCAAAATTCATTTCCAAATGCTTAGCTGTCAAATCTGTCTTACTCTAGATTACATAGGACAAACTCGACTGATATGCTGGAATCGAAAATCATTTAGCTTCTGTATCACTTAATGGTAAAATTCTTTGAACTTCCAAATATCTGTTGCGTATTCAATATTCATTGACCTAAAAAAAGCGTTTGACGCAGTGGACCACAAAGTATTTCTGCACAAATTATCAAATTACGGCATACGAGGTATTTTACTGCGACTCCTAGCCAACTATTTAACACAATTTTTTCAATTATCAAATGACACAAAATCTTCAAAACCCTCTAATACCTGTGGCATCCCACAAGGCTCGATGTTTTGTTTTTAATATGTGAATGACCTTCCAAATGCCTCCAATTTGCTCACAGAACTCTTTGCTGATGTCCACCCCATCAATGTCATCATTGCAGGAAAAAATAAGTGAGGTACTCATTAAAGTTCAAAACTGGATGGACATAAAATTTCTCATAATTTCTAGAAACAAAAAATTCAAATTTACAGCTTTCCAAGTTACAATTGACAGCCAATCTCTTGGAAAAGTAGACTTCTATAAATACCTAGGCATACATATTGACGAAAACTAAATCGGACTAAACATGTGAAAGATGTGCTTGGAAAATTGTCACAGACTATTGGTATTCTGGGTAAAGTTGGCAAGCTTCTTCCCACATAAGTTCTGTGCATGATATACTTTTCCCTCTTTCAAACTCACATTCAGTATGGTCTGTTGCATGGGGTTACTTAATTACCAGCGAATTGTCTAGAAGAATAGAAGTTTTGCAAAATAAAGCTGTAACAATATTATCCAGTTCTACATCTCGTACTAGTTGTACCCTCTATTTGCCCCAAAGTAAATATTCAAGTTCAAAGACTTATGCTTTTTTGAAGTAGCACCAAGGGCTTTTGATAATTATTTCACAGCTCAGTATTTTATACATAGCCATCGCACTCGACCATCATCTCAAGGGTCCCTTTTTGTCCCCAGATGTCAATCGAAGCGGGCCCAAGACATCCTCAGATACACTGGTGTAAAAATTCGGAATGATCTACCTTCCAGCATTAAAAACTTAACATATCCCAATTTTAAAAAACAGTTACGCAATCACTTATTCGCTTTATACTGTTTATAAACATGTATTACTTTACCCCTATTTCATGCTTCTGTGCTTTCATGATTTCAGTGTTGGTTGGCATTGGTGGTTGTACATTCTGGTCTACACAAATCTTTATGAACATATTCATAAATAAGTAGCAACACAGTAATGTTCAGAATGTTTGAACTTAGAGATGTAGCAAGCAATTCAATATTGTAACATCATGCCTTTCATTAATTTAACTGCAGGAAATATATTTTGCCCCTTGGAAATTTATTAAAAAATTATAAAAATACCCGATTTCTAGGAAGAACGATTGGTGACGAAGCTTTTAATGATATTGTTCATTTTTTTTTTATCAGTTATCTGTATAATTTGCTAATGGTAAGTCATTTTATGTGAACCAGAAGGGTTAAATACATGGCAACTTTAGATACTTTATGGACCTAGATCACCGTATATGTTTAATAATTTCTCAGCGATATAGATTAAACAGCGGTTGCTAATAATCTGTCCTCTAAGTAAGGACTAATTGAAATCTTGTGTATTGAAGAAAATTGACAACTCAAGTTTTTTGAAAACAATGGCTCATAATACTGATTCTGGATATGTGAAGCTTGATTCTGCTGCACCTGGAACTGAAGCAACTGCAACGAATATTCAACCACAGCAACAACCTGATGGAGCTACTCAATCACAAGTTACAGCACCTGCACCGCAGCCAGAAACAACAACTCCAGCCCAAATCAAGCCGAGGATAACGCACAAAAATGTTCTGTTCAAACTTGGCATTGCTGAAGTAATTTTCGGTGTTTTATCATGCATTTTATGCATCATTACACTGATACTCGCTGACAAAAATTCATCCTATCTGTACTATGATGATTATGAGAAAAGATACTATCAAAACAGAATTACATATGGATCTAATGTTGTCGCACAAGGAATATGGTGTGGTGTTGTAATACTTGCATCCGGGATACTTGGAATAAAAGCAAGAGATTACCCCACAGTTTGCATGTACCGGGCTAATATGACCGTCAGCATCATAGCCTCATTTTTTATGTTTATTCTGTGTATTCTCTCTGGTGTTAGCACCATCACAGTATATCCTCACAGTTACATATATATATTACTACCTTACCACACTATCTTGGCAATCATTGGATTTGTTGGCATGATTATCTGTATTGTCCACTCAGCATATTGTTGCGCTGGCATTTGTTGTCGCACGAAGACCACGCGTGTTCCACGACCTGCATATTCTCGACAACAAATGGTTCGACTTGCAAATGGTCAATATATGATGGTACCTATCAATGCACCACAGAACTACCCAGGAATGCCCATTGCGCAACAAGCTGTTGTTGTTCCCCCAGGGCAGGTGTTTCCTCAACCAGTGACAGGAGTTCAACCCTACCCATCAATGCCAGGACAAGGGCCACAGTATTACCCACCAGGACAGATGCCTTCGCAACCGGCAATAGTTATTCCTGCAGGACAAATGCCTCCAAATCAACCACCGCCAATGTACTCACAGTCACAGCCCGGAGTTCCTGCGTTCACTACACAAATCCAACCGAATGCTCCCTGCCCAACGATGCCTCAGCAAGTCACCCAACCCCTGAACCCTTCTACATATCCGAGACAACCACCCTGCAACCCTTCTGTTTAAAACAGGAGATTGGAGATGAAGTTTTGAGTCCGTGTGGGTTTAAAACTTGATGGAATTCATCGATGGAAGTACTTTGTAAATCCTATACGTATACACAAACAATCGTATTCATACTCACCGAACTGCATGTAGATATATATATCAAAATACTTTGTAAATCGTATACGTATACACAAACAATTGCATTCATACTCACTGAACTGCATGTAGATATATATATCATATACAAAATGTTTTTCTAATATTGTCATTTCGCTAAAATTTATCATGACAGATTATCGATTTTAATCTCATTTTATGTGAAACCGCAAATTTTTTTTAAGCTGAATATGGCATTCATATTGAAATAATTCTTCGTAAATTGCATAACTATTTTTTAATGGTTACTGGTTTTACTCTTGTGTTAAAATTTTCAATACTTTTTAATTTTTACTTTGCGATAAGGTTTCCTGAAATCGATCCATGGCAGTGTGCAAACACAAATATTTTACCTGGTTACATGTAGCAACAATTTCATTAGATAACTCAGTACAGTATTTTTATGTGATAATCGTAATCCTTGTCCTGAACCAAATTCTACAAGTGCAACCACTCATTGTATATGACCAGTTTAAGCACCATTTTCGGAGGAATAATCGTTTCAGTTTAGCAGTGCCTCCCCAAATTATTGCGTCAATGAAGATTATTATTATCATTCATTATTTCTCCCTTTTTTACATATTATCATTTTTAATATATTGGCTTTTCATGCCCATGACTAGATTCTTTTTATGAGGTGTTGCGTTCTTTTAGGGATTATTTCTACAGTATCCAGGCTATTGCGTATAACAAAATGTCAATATTACCTATTTTAACTAGATTTTTGTATTTGAATCTCAGTGTATCATCTTGCCATATTGTACATTACACATATAAATATTAAATAGTAAACATACGTTTTCACACCAGGGCTGTGACGTCATAGAAAATTTACACTCCAAACTCCTAGCTATTTAGAGAAAACAGCCATGTCGCTCTAGTCTAGGCAAAAATTTTAACTGGGACTTAAAGTTTAAGAAGCTTTTAGTCTCAACTAAAAAACAACTTTAAGAGTATGCACGTATTCATCTTTAATTTTCAGTGAAAGTTTTTTTAGGTTTGGTTGGGAATTTTGATATTCATCAACATTAGAATTCGGAAATATGTCTCCTACTTCATAGCCCTGCTCTGTACATAAAAAGAATATTGACATGATTTTATTTCATCCTATTATTTCAATTCATTTATAATATTGCTGCATGTTTCTTGCCGTTTTACACTTGCTTTTGTTGCAATCATCTAATATTTACCCTACAAGTTCCATGATTCATTCGTTGCAATTTTTATTTACCTTAATTATAAAAGATCCATGACAATGTATATTAGTAGCAAGTTAGCAACTGCATTAAAATTTTGTGATCAACATAATGCTGTACATGAACTTCCTACATAAATGGAATAAGATTTTCTTAGTAATCCTGGGGGAAAAGAAAATACCTTAATATGAGTAATATATTCTTTAAACAATATTGTTGTATTTACCGGCAGTTTGTTTCATTCAGGATTATTTTACCTGTTATTTAAAGCGTGCGATTTCAATTCTGAGATTATTGCTCTACCATATTGCAATAATGTGCACTGCAAGCTCACTTACGTCATCTTCAATATACAAGCAATAATGTAACTTGTTGTTGATCTGAATTGAAAATGTTATGAAATATGGCGTAGGGGATGTGTTAGAGATATAAGCATGTGGACTCGCTTTTCAAAGGTTGGGAATTTGTTCAGGAAGAAGAAAGAGAAGCTGATGACATGTATTCCTTTTATATACATATATAAATACTTACACTCTGAACCAGGCCCTGCGTAAGCATCCAGCACTGATGCACGGCCATCCTTGTTCTTCAGGAATATGGGTCTACTTCCATTGTAATGTATGCTAATAATGTTTTGGTACAAATTCAGGGGGTTCAGGCCCTGGTTCTTGAATGAGCCTTCCAGGAAACATAAATTTCATTTAATTATGGCAATTACTGGAATCTTATATGGAACGACTTAATAGTGAATTTGGGATCACCTTAGAAGCAGTTACACTACCTGAGCAAGTCATTTATGAGGATTCACGAGAGAGAGATGAAGACATCAATGCCTATATTAAATACAAATAAAATTCCATAGACTTGCTTAAAGAGAGAAATTGTATTTTTTGAACGAGACAATAACATAATATATATCTTGTGTAATATATCATATATGATATATCAATCACCAGATAATTCCTAGGATTTGAGTTCGTAATAAAAAATCACTGAGAACCAATTCAACATAAACAGAGACTAATGTTTTGAACATTAGTGTACTTCGGGGATTGGTTCACTTCAAAGTATATATATATATGCGAGGATAAACGGTATATATAAATTCCCATAGCTTAGTAGGCCAAGATGCCACCAAATGGTAGCGAGTTATAGATTGTACATACCGAAGCTATTTATAGAATCTAATCCAAATACTACATTTCTCAGCTTTTAGTATGACTGAAGATTTGAAAATTGTCTTCAAATATTTTTATGTATATACCGTACTTTGTCATTGAATATAGCAACTGACAATAACATCGATAAACAAAAAGATCACACTAATGTGATTTGTGAACTAGCATAGAAACAATTGCAACAGCATTATTTCATCATTTTGGGATTTATTTTTCAACTTTTCACAATCACACTGATATTTATTCAGGTGCATACATTAATAATATAAATAATGTAACGACTAAATCCTTTGTCATTCTTATACAGCTAATGAAGTATTCGTACCAAGATGGCGCACAACCTGAACATTGTATGGTTACCAGCGAAAGGTTCAGGATGTGCGTCATCTTGGACCGAATACTTTAAATCCACTTGAAAAAATTGCTCAACATTATATACTCCACACCCACCTGGGTATCATTATATATGTCATATACATTATATCTAAACAATAAAAAAAAAACTTTGTCCCAAAACAATGTTAAGGCCCGATTCTGCCGGACTATCTTATCCAAAATGTATAGTTTACAAAAAACAAATTAAAATATAAACCTCACTGATAAATGGTGGCACAATACAAAATACACCCATATAATGTGAACGTAAGTTAATATGTCCGTATCTGCTTGTCTAAAGCCCTGCTTAGAGTGATATCGTGTAACGCCATATTAATATATTGTAGCCCAATACATGATCTATGGCTGGACATAAAATAACAAGTCCTTCCTTATGTGTGTGTTGTAGGGAGGCCGCTGCCCTCACTGAGTTTGTTAACGTAGTCGCAGACGCCATTACGGGTGATCAGCTCTATTTTGTTACTGTGACGTCGCATTGGCGTAATTTTTTGATGACGAAGTCAGGTGAGGGTCAGGAATATTATATGCAAAAATAGTTACGCTAAGTTAACTATAGGTAATTGAGGTACGAAACTACATCCGTAGGTGTCATTACGAATATCGTCGCTATTATTGTGCAAGCCGTATTTCGTGATTGTGAGATTTCTGTGACGTAATTTTTGGATGACAAAGTCAGGTGAGGGTCAGGAATGATTATGCAAAAATAGTTACGCTAAGCCTAATAGAAGTTATTGAGGTACGAAACTACACCCATAGGGTACACACAGGCGTAATTATTACGAGTTCTTTATTGTCGCTATTATTAGGCAAGTTCTATTTCGTTATTGTGAAGTCGCATTGGCGTAATTTTTTGATGACGAAGTCAGGCGAGGGTCAGGAATATTATATGCGAAAATTGTTACGCTAAGTTAACTATAGGTAATTGAGGTACAAAACTACATCCATAGGTGTCATTACGAATATCGTCGCTATTATTGGGTAAGCTCTACTTCGTTATTGTGAATTCGCATTGACGTAATTTTTTGATGACGAAATCAGGTGAGGGTCAGGAATATTATATGCGAAAATTGTTACGCTAAGTTAACTAGAAGTTATTGAGGTGAAAAAAATACATCCATAGGTGCCATTACGAATAACGTCGCTATTATTGGGCAAGCTCTATTTCGTTATTGTGACATTGCAGTGACGTAATTTTTGGATGACGAAGTCGGGTGAGGGTCAGGAATATTATATACAAAAATTGTTACGCTAAGCCTAATAGAGATTATTGAGGTACGAAACTACACCCATAGCGGGCACAGGCGTATTTATCACGATTGCATTATGGTCGCTACTATTAGGCAAGCTCTATTTCGTTATTGTGAATTCGCATTGACTTAATTTTTGGATGATGAAGTCAGGGCAGGGTCAGGAATATTATATGCAAAATGTGTTACGCTAAGTTAACTAGAAGTGATTGAGGTACGAAACTACATCCATAGGTGTCATTACTAGTGATCGTCGCTATTATTAGGCAAGCTCTATTTCGTTATTGTGAATTCGCATTGACGTAATTTTTGGATGACGAAGTCAGGTGAGGGTCAGGAATATTATAAGCAAAAATTGTTACGCTAAGTTAACTAGAAGTAATTGAGGTACGAAACTACATCCATAGGTGTCATTACTAGTAATCGTCGCTATTATTGAGCAAGCGTTATTTCGTGATTGTGACGTTGCAGTGACGTAATTTTGGGATGACGAAGTCAGGTGAGGGCCAGGAATGATATATGCAAAAATTGTTACGCTAAGATAAGTATAAGTTATCGAGGTGAGAAACTACATCCATTGCGCTAAGGCAAATTAATACAGTAATATGTCGGTTTCTGCTTGTCTAAAGCCTTGCATAGAGTGAAAGCGTTCCACGTCCTATTAATAAAATGTGGCACAATACATGATCAGTCTCTGGATATTAAATAACAAGTCTTTATGTCTGCGGTACCCCTCAATCATTGCGTGAATTAAATGTTCTTTCTGTTTGTCTAAAGCCTAGCTCAGAGCGGTATCGTATACCACCCTATTAATAGATAGTAGCACAATACATGAGCTATTGCTGGACATAAAATAACAAGTCTTTATGTGTGTGGTATCCAACTTCAACCATTGCGTAAAATAACATGTATTTTCTGCTTGTCTAAAGCCTTGGTTAGAGTTGCACCGTATAACGCTCTATTTTAGATTGTAGCACGATACATGAGCTATTGCTGGACAGAAATTGGTCAGAATGGGATATCGCTGTATCGTGAACGTTCCTTGGCGACAATTTAGTCGCTTGTGATCCTTGTTTATTTGAGCTCTGTACATTGACCCCGATAAGAGAGAGGTCGCTGACGTATTGAGTTTGTTGACATACTCGTAGGCCCCATTACGGGTGACCGTTGCTATACTTTGGCAAGCTGTATTTTGTTATTGTGACGTCGCAGTGACGTAATTTTTGGATGACGTCATCAGGTAGGGATCAGGAATCATATATCCAAAAATTGTTACGCCACGCCCACTAGAAGTTATTCAGGTAAGAAAGTACATGAGACCCAATTATCGACCTAGATTACGGTATATATTTGATAATTTCTCAGCGATATAGATTAAACAGGGGTTGCTAATAATCTGTCCTCTAAGTAAGGACTAATTGAAATCTTGTGTATTGAAGAAAAGCTGACAACTCAAGTTTTTTGAAAACAATGGCTCATAATACCGATTCTGGATATGTGAAGCTTGATTCTGCTGCACCTGGAACTGAAGCAACTGCAACGAATATTCAACCACAGCAACAACCTGAAGAAGCTACTCAATCCCAAGTTACTGCACCGCAGCCAGAAACAACAACTCCAGCCCAAATCAAGCCGAGGATAACGCACAAAAATGTTCTGTTCAAACTTGGCATTGCTGAAGTAATTTTCGGTGTTTTATCATGCATTTTATGCGTCATTACACTGATACTCGGTCACAAAAATTCATCCTATCTGTACTATGATAATTATGATAAAAGATATTATCAAAACAGAATCACATATGGATCTAATGTTGTCGCACAAGGAATATGGTGTGGTGTTGTAATACTTGCATCCGGGATACTTGGAATAAAAGCAAGAGATTATCCCACAGTTTGCATGTACCGGGCTAATATGACCGTCAGCATCATAGCCTCATTTTTTATGTTTATTCTGTGTATTCTCTCTGGTGTTAGCACCGTCACAGTATATCCTCTGAGGTACATATACATATTACTACCTTACCACATTATCTTGGCACACATTGGATTGGTGGGCATGGTTATCTGTATTGTCCACTCAGCATATTGTTGCGCTGGCATTTGTTGTCGCACGAAGCCCACGCGTGTTCCACAACCTGCATATTCTCGACAACAAATGGTTCGACTTGCAAATGGTCAATATATGATGGTACCTATCAATGTACCACAGAACTACCCAGGAATGCCCATTGCGCAACAAGATGTTGTTGTTCCCCCAGGGCAGGTGTTTCCTCAACCAGTGACAGGAGTTCAACCCTACCCATCAATGCCAGGACAAGGGCCACAGTATTACCCACCAGGACAAATGCCTTCGCAACCGGCAATAGTTATTCCTGCAGGACAAATGCCTCCAAATCAACCACCGCCAATGTACTCACAGTCACAGCCCGGAGTTCCTGCGTTCACTACACAAATCCAACCGAATGCTCCCTGCCCAATGATGCCTCAGCAAGTCACCCAACCCCTGAACCCTTCTACATATCCGAGACAACCACCCTGCAACCCTTCTGTTTAAAACAGGAGATTGGAGATGAAGTTTTGAGTC